AATCTAAATTTAAGCATATTTAATTACTTACAGTAAATTATTTAATTATTTTTCTTTCACATGATTAATAAATTGACTGATTTTAGATTACAATTGATATTATTATACAGTATAAATTTATAATAAATTTATAATAAATTTACAATAAATTTATATAAAAGACATGTTTCTCAATAATAAATTAATACTGTAAAAATTTATTATTAATATATAAATAAATCATATAAATAAAACTTTGATCGATTATTTTAATATTTTATTATAGATAATATTGATAATATTGATAAAATTTTATCATATTTCACTTTAAAAATACATTAAAATAAAGTAAACTTGTATATAAATGTGATTTACTACGAATATGAAAAAAAACTTCACTTTAGTGATTTTATCAAACTCACTTTAGTGATTTGTCAAACTCATATTAGTGATTTGTCACTAAACCCCCATTTAACGTATTTGTAATATCAGTCAGATATGATAGTATTATATATATGCAAGATATAGGTAAAACTCCGAATAAGAATTCCATGAAAATAAAAATAAGTAAATGCTAGGGAAAATGATCATAAGAACTTGTTTTTCTTTTATAAATATAATACCCGATATTATACAAGGTTGGTTAAATCATATATGTACTTAGTATAAAAAAAGATTTATTAATGCCTAATTACTAAATAAGGTTACAAAAAATAGGTCCGTAACATCCGTAATATGAAAATTATTAAACGTAGAGAAACGGTTAAAAATATCATAACGGAAGACGCCTCGAAACTCCAACACAATCATTGTTATCTTTTATGTTCAAAAAGAATGATGTATCGCCGAAAATAAATTACGTACATGGACATGGATACATTTATTCCACTAAATTTAAAATTATTTTCAAGCAGCCCCATTATAACGATCGACTTTTCCATTATGTATATCAAATTTCCGACATTTTAGTTTCACACAAAACCCAATTTAGGTAACTTAGATCAACATATCGATGCACAAGTACATCATATATTCCCTTTATAAAGAACAAAATACCAAATAATTTATCCATTATTATCGAATAAATATTTTTAAATGTAGCGATTTTTTCGCCTCACCTTTAGGGTATCCCTGCATTTTTCCTAAATAATAATTGTGTTTTTTTTCTGGTTATAACCGAATGATCAAATATTTTTTATTTTTAAATTTATTTGTTGTCCCGTAAAGGATATAAAATTTGCCCATACGATCAAATTACTTATTTACATATTAAAAGTTGTGATCCATTAAATTATTTCATTATAGTAAATGATCCGAGAAATACGAGTACAAACAGTGGTTCTAATGCTAGAAGATAAAAGCTTTCGAACGAATTATTTCAGCCAAGATGAACTTTATACTAAATAATATTCCATACTTGGACATGAAATTTAAAGATGACACTTTAATGTGACGCGCAGTTCGAGAATTCACCAATAGTCAATATTATTCATATTACTATCGGTAATTTATAAAGGAGTACAGATGAATCGGGTGAAAAAGAGGGTTAAAATTGATATTAATTAAAAAAGTTGTGTTCGAAATTGTATCATTTAAATAAGTAATTCGGTGGATTGTCAATGCAGAAAATTTTCCTTAATGTACTGTATGCGGAAAGGTTAAAGTCATTCATTAATAATTGTTTTATAATTGTTAATTGGTTTCTTCAAATAAAAATTTGCTATTAATGTAATTAAAGGATAAAACGTGTAATAATATGTTCAATTATGTCAATTGGGCATTATGTGCTTAGATACGTAAACGAATCTTTAACGACGAAAAAAAAAGGGTTTGAAAGTTGATTTTAAGAATCACATTAATTACATTAAGGGGAGGGGGGTTTCGAATGTGTATACTTCTAAAGATGATGTCGATTTAGTTCCAGGGTAAATAAATATATATATATATATATATATATTTATTTATTTAAAGATAAATGCTCTATTCGGGAATTTATAATCTCCATGGGGTTCCACGAAATATTTTTAAAAATATATATATATGTTATACAACATAAGCTTAAACTCATATGCGCGTAAATAAATAGTCTTATAAATCTAAGAACTTGCTTAAATACTGTAATAATGCAATAAATAATGTAATACATAATTTAATAAATGATTATAATACTGTAATATAATAGTGTAATATGATAATGATGTAATATAATAATGTAATGGGTATGATGGTTTAAATAAACTTTCATTTACCAGAGGATTTGTGACGAAAGATTCAAACATATATTATCTTTTCCTATTCTATCGACCTATCTATCGTCTATAATACTATCGGCCTATCGACCTACCGGCTCGATTTTTTAATGTATATAGACTAAATTTATTTATTTTATTTTTTTAATTTTGTTAATTTTCGTGAATGTATAAATCATCTTACAGGTAGCAGAAGTACGCGACTTGAGACTATGGCTCGAGGTTCCACCAATAATATTCTAGATCATCGGATCAGATGATGAATCACGTGATAAAAACGATAATCGGATTTTATATCGATTCTTTTCTATTGTATTATACTTTGCAAACAAAACCTTCCCAAAAGGGGTTATATTGAAATATTCAATGTAATAAAACAATTACCATGGACAGTTCTTTTTTTGTCTATAAATTTTCTAGAGTGAGTCAATAATTTTCTTTTGACTATGTTCCAAGTAACGCCAAAAGTTACTCTAAGAGGGATAAAGTCGTACACTAAAGGGAGTAGTTTTAGGAATAATAATAATTTGTTTGTAGTCTAAATGCGTTATATTGCATGCACACTCTAAATTGTAAACAAACTATTTTATAGCAATAAAGGACGTTAGATCATTTAACTCTGCATGTCAAATAACAAAAACAGAACCTAAAGTCAACAATGACTTTAGATGTGACAACAATGGTCAATCGCTTTCAGTCAACTTCCATAAGTATAATCAGTACGGCATTTTTAGAATAACACGACATCTTGTGTCATTCATTGACATTTTTTGTGATAAAGTTGAAATGGTAAGATAACCTGAATATTCCGTGATTTATAATAATAATGATGCATTGATAATTTAGATTGTGATAACCAGATGTGCTTTAAAAGTTAAAATGTTTTTTTTTTAAGTCGGGGGTGATTATAACCGAATATCTATGAATAATTAAAGGAAGTCTATTAATGGATGTATAACTACCATAAAAGTTCTACTTAATTAGACCATGTTATCCTTGGGAGTTTGTGAATCATTACAACTTGTCTCTGCAATGAAATACTTAATTAATAAAAATCGTGGCTATTTTGTATTATTATTTATCCTTGTTTTATACACTACTTTATACAACTTTATACAACTTTATACAACTTTATGCAAATATATGTAAAGCCTTGTCACATTATACATTTAATAATAAGCCATGTACATTAAATATCATTATGATTATGAAAAAAATTTTTTTTTTTTTTAAAGTTTGTTGTAGTTGTTGTAGTACACGACATTTATATTTTTAACAAAGATCAGTGAACAACGTGTTATAAGTATTTGTAATCAATATTATCAATATTGTTTAAAAAGCATATCTTTAAATTGTCAAATCAAATATGTTTTTTTTATTTAGTCTAAGTCATATCTTTGCCACGTATGGAACTTTACAGGCATCTGTAATTAGGTACTCAAACATTTAAATATTTCATACAAAGAATTTTTTTTTTTTTTTTTTTTTATAAGATGGAGATCAACTCCGAAAACAAAGACTATTTCAACCAATCCAGAATCGATCACAGATCGCTTAGCTGAAACATTTACCTTTTTTTTCTAAGTCCGTAAATGAACTAATACCTTTGAAACATTCTAAAACATTCTATATTCTATACTTTTTTTAATGCTTTTTAACCTTTTAATATTTTTTTAATCTACGCGAAATTTGATGTTCTAAATTCAGAACTTAAATTTATAATTTATTAAATTTATTAAATTTATTAAATTTAATAAATTTAATAAATTTAATAAATTTAATAAATTTATTAAATTTATTAAATTTATTAAATTTATTAAATTTATTAAATTTATTAAATTTATTAAATTTATTAAATTTATTAAGTGGGGGATCTTCTACTTTTAACTATTAATTATATAATTTTTTTTTAATTTTATACAATCCCATGAATCAAATTTATATATGTATTTAAAATCCCGATTATGTGCATTCATATATCAAGAACTTTTAGAAATCTGTTTTTTTCATTTGGTTACGATATGTTATTAAATACAAAAAATAAACTTTTATAAAAAATTATACTAAATTTAAACTGGGTTATAAAAAGTTTAAACTTTATTGCTATCTAGATTTAAAAAAAAATTCTCATACGGGATAATCTAAATTAATTTTTAATTACGATATACACTGTTATGATTACACACCATTAATAAACATTAATAAACATTAAACATTAATAAACTATTAAACTCTATCCACGTTTTTTTTCATTAATTACCCTTGTAATGACAGTATAAATACCCCGGTTTACCCAATATTTGAAAATTATAAATTTGTGTAATTTCATATCCTGCACACGTTTTTTATCATAGATGTATATATGTATATATGTATATACGATATCTATATCTATATCTATATATCTCAATCTCATACAAGGATAGTTTTATTAAAGTGTTTATCGTTTCTACGTACGTACGTACGGTATATTCCGTGACCTCCTTGTTGTTTTTCAAAAATTTAATTAAAACTAAAAAGGGAATATATTGACTGCGGTTCCTAAGTTATCCCAATCTGTTTTTTATTCTTATTTCTCTATATTTTTTTATTTATTTTTTTTATTAATACAGTATGTATAAAAAAAGATTTAAATGAAAAACTGCAATAAGGCTAATTAGAAATAAAATTTTTGTAAGACTTTCTCGCGGCGACCTTAGCACTCTTGTGAGATGCAACCATGTAATGTGATGCAACGCCCAATGTAAATGTAAATGTAATGCTTCGTTCATTTACTATTTAGGTTATTGTAAAACTTTTTTACTTTGATATATTTTAGGTTTTTGGGAAATCATTGTCCAACTAGGTTAAAGTTTTTCGGATTTGTCTTTTTCTAGACTTTCATCGCGATAACGAAATTCCGATCATAGTTTATTATTTCAAATGTGAATGAATTCTACATCCGTAACATTCCGTTGTTTAACAAACCATTTACCTTATAAAAATTTTAATCTACCGTTCCCCTTCCTTAAATTCATTGAAAAATCCCCCTTTTCAGTTTTCACTTTTATATAACATTAGGAAAGGATAAATTATCTTTTTATCTAATCACTATTGTGTGACTGTTCAACTAATTTTCAACTAATTAAGGAGTAACGTCATCTTAATGTCCCCATGTCTTTCTAAATTGATTATTTGAAAGAAAATAATAATTACACAAGATTGAACCTTTTAAATTTTCTTTCAGCTGATAGATAAATAGTTACATTTTAAACACAGATACAGATATACTGTGGCTTTTTTTTACCGCGCTGCGCTGCGTTAAAAATTTTTCGTTAATATTAATATGTATAACGATATTTTTTATACATTTAGATATATTAACGTTAATAAAAGAAGGCATGTAAAACAAAGTGGTGAATTTTTACGTCAGTTAAATCAAAGAGAAAAAAAAGACACACACACTTTAAAATTTTGATTAAATTAATTTAAAGTATTTAAACATGAATACATGAATTTCAAAACAAATTTCCAAAAAAATCGGACAAGATTAAAATTTTTTTTCTCAAAAGTTTTAATAGTATCCAAAAAGGGATGAAGGAAAAAAAGAATCTTAAAGTTGCTTTATTTTTAAATTTTGAGTTCATAGATAGATCGGTTGAATGAATGAATAAACGAACGGACCATTCTTTTTTTTTTTTTTTATGCTCGTGATAATCTATCTATAGATTTAAGTTGCATGTCAGTATACTGTTATACTGATTGATTGTATTGTGATTAGAATCTAACATTTAAGTGATGTGCTCTCTAAAAGAACTTAAAGATATTTGAGTCTTCTAAGGGATACGTTTCTTTTTAAATATACATATGAATATATATACATATAAATAAATAAATAAATAAGTATATATATATATATATATATATATATATAAATAAATAAAAAAATAAATAAATTTTATTTATTTATTTTATATATTTAACGAGCCAATTAATTTTTCTCTCTAATTTTTTTAATGCATCCTTAAACTTAGTTTTTTTTTACAATTAATTTATAATAAAATACCTTTTCTGTACATCAGTATATACGTACAGTACGTATAAACTACTTTAATCAATATTATCTTGTCTTATTTTTCTATATATATATATGTATATATATTTACGTTTAAATGATCGTTAACTCATTTTCATTTACACAATTTGGCGTAGTAACAACCCATGCTTATTTGAATTTTTTCTTTATAAAATATTAATTGTCAAAAAAAAAAAAGTCACTTTTTAACAAATCGGTAACGCGACGTTACCCAAGATATTCAAAAAATGCAATGTATAGTATTAAAATATACAGGTAGTAAAAAATTATAATAGTGATAAAGACAATAATACAATAGTAATAATCAGTAATAATATCAGTAATAATCAGTAATAATTAACAATAGTGAAACGAAGATCATGGATCGAGAATTCCGGGGTAAGCGAATAAAAAGTCTAGGGTGCGTATCAAGGGGCTTAATTTGCAGGTTGCAGCTTTTGGTGATATGGTGATCCAAGCGACGCCAAAAAGAACAATAATTGACAGTTTAAGAAAAAAACTTTAAACTGTGTATCCGTGCGTAGTTTTTCCAAAATTTAATTTATCATACTTTCGCGCATTATGATACTATGGCATTATGCGCGTACATACATGATTAAAAATAATGTACATTGTCAAAATTTTAAAATTCTTAGTCACAAAGTTTCGTCAAAGAACTGAAAATCAACGGTTCTTTGTTTAAATTGTTTCGGAAACAGTGGAATAGGTATGGCGAACAACAATGATAAAACCTGTTTTGGAAAAAATGATGGAACACTTTATTTTTGAGAAAGTACGGGGATGACCCGCGAACGTAGGACAAAAATGCGAGGGGCAAAAGAAAGTGTGAGAAAAGAATTACATTAATTAATCTAACGTGTTAATATTATGTAAACACAATCATTATGTATAAAGGTGATGTTATAGAAGTTATATTTCATGAGTATTTAAAATACTCTGGTCAGATGAGCCATATACTGCATGCAATTACGTACTTTGAACAATTCACAAAAAAAGACCTGAATTCTTTTTTATGCAGGTTTCAAAAGTCATTCTTAAACATTACAGGGGAAGAATTTAAGAATACAATTAATTAAAATTCATCTCACACGTACTTACGTACGTACCTGGTACGTTTAATCGAGATATCAATATCAGATATTAACATACATGCAAGTATTATATATATGAAAAAGGTAGTTAATAAATGTCAAAATTAAAAGTGGCTTGATTTTCACAAACCAATGAATAAACTTTTCCCCGCTTAGATTGTTTATGCTTTTTTTTTTGATTTGCGCGATAAACATTGTGGAGGTGCATATATTATAATGTATATTAATAGTTTTTTGTTTACAATAGCATGGATTTTATTAATTTTTGATCATAAACTTGACAGATTCGACAGATACCAGGGTCATGTTTGATATACAAAGGGATATTAAATCATAATATCTAGTAATAATTATATATATATAGTATACACATATACATATATATATATAATTAAATACGTGTATAAAAACAATTAATCATAAAAATAAACAATATTTAATAACAATTAATATTAAATCGGCCGAACATTTTAAGTCAAATGTTTATACATTTAATTTTATTGTTTTTGTTTTGTTACTAATTGTCGTAATTTTGTAAATTTTGTAAACTTTATATATGATTAGCGTTAGAAAATAGGTAGAAAATATCCTGACAATGTATCCACCAATTATTAATTAAGGCAGTAAAATCACATGATCACATGCTGATTACATGCTGATGAGGTGATTCGTTTCCAACCAATTAAAATCCTTTAATAAATTATGAATGTTACAAGATACTGCGATAACTTTACAATTTTATTACAATGTAAATAAATGTAAATAAGTAATGAAACGAAAAATTTATTTTGCAAGTTTAAAGATTAAAAGATTAACTAGATCGTATTACTGTATTAACGACAGTAGCATTAGCATTAGTGGATGGTATTTTGTAATTTTGCATTTTGTTATGACAGATCTACGATCTTGTCTGCATCAATTTTTTTTGAATTCTTGGTTTTAAACTGTCAAAATAACGAATTAAAAATTGATACAACGTGTTAACGTGTTACCTATTACCATGATAATATAGTGGTAATGTTTACTTGTTTGATATCTACATATCTCTGTATCTAATATTGACATTAAAAATTATTAAGTACATCATATTTGAAGAATCGGGATCGTCATAGATTGTGTCCTATCAGTAGATCAATGTAACCTTAAAACAATAGTTATATCGTAGATAATATTTATAGATAATATTTAGTTATTATAACTAAATGCAGTACGTATATATATTATAACTAAATGCAGTATATATATTATAAGATAAATAATGCTACTATACATGGCTTTTAAAAGAAATAGATTAAATTGTTCTATTAAAAGCAAGAGAGAACATGGATTGTCTTTTCGGCAGTGTACGGCTGTATAAAACTAGTTAACATTGTCCAATTTTTTGGTACGTAAAATACGCAAAATACATAAAATACATAAAATACGTAAAATACGTAAAATGTGGTAATAACGGCTATTTCTGTATTCCGGATATTTACATTTTATCTTGTTAAACGTAAGTATTAGATATTTGTTTACTATTCTTCTATTTAATTATCTATTTAATTATCTATTTAATTATCCATTTAATTATCTATTTAATTATCTATTTAATACCATTTTACGTCACTATTGTATTATAAAACGAAAGGTGCATATAATTATCAATAAATAACAATTTAAACATATAATTAACAATAATGTCATGTCGGGTGTGCTCTTATTTAATTTTACAATCCGGTACGATCCTAATTCGTTTACTTTTCTGACTGTTTTTTTTTCCTAATTTTTCCCCTTGTGTACATATAATCGTTCGACAAACAATAACATTCCAATAATATTTCAATATTTTTTTTTAAACACGCATGTCTTGATAACGTGGCAAATAAGCAAAGGTTGTTTCATGCACAATTAATAAAATCCGAGTCAATAATAAAATCCGAGTCAATAGTAAAATCCGAGTCAATAGCTTGCATTGTTTTTTTGTCTTACAAAAATAATAATATTATAACCTATCGCTATCGATTAATGCTATCGATTAATGCTGTCGATTAATGCTGTCGATTAAAACATTATTAAAACATATTTTTTTTTTAAAAAAAAAATAAATAATAATGCAAGAACTGAAATTAATTAAACGTTGAAGGAGAATTTACTATTAAACATGAAACGCACGTTATGTAAATCGAAAATTTTGGAAATTACGAGTTTTAGAAGACAATTGAACTTTCCGGAAATACTATATTGACAGTTTTCCCTGATCTAAAAATAAGAATGCGGAGAGAAATTAAACTGTATGATATGCTTATATATATTAAATGCACTCGTGGATAATAGCTTAAATAAATCTATAGTTCTTTAACCGAATAACTTATTTAAACTAAATAATATTATATGTCAAAGATGAAATAGGTGATCAAATGTTGAAAAACAATCGATTTACCTTGCAAGGAACACAAACAAATCTTACTTACCTAATATGGTTTCTGATCTTGCGTTCAAGTACTGAAGTAGAGAATGAAATATTTTTATTGATTCTTTTCTGTCTCTAAATAATGCATACATATACAGTTTTTTCATTATTTTTTTTTATTCAAAGATATATACTACTGTAAAAGATGTATAAATGATATAAAATGAGATAGATCAACATTGATGACACGGATCCATCATTTTCTCAATTGTGAATGAATGTCAATAAATGTCAATGTCAAACTGTGTAAATAAATTGTATGCTTCACATCATTTGTAATATGCTTCACATCATTTGTAATATGCTTCGCATCATTTACATCATCTATATTATATGTAATACGCGTCACACAACGTGATCATGTGTAATAAGATAAAAAATAAAAAACAATTTATCTATAAAACTTTTGTATTCAATTCCTCAAGCATTCTAGATCGTTGTACATGTGATGATCTTTGCACAACCTTAGTCTCATAGTCCGGAGTAATTTTATCTTAACATTTATCGTACGATTTATTACGTAAATGGTCAGGAGTGTTTTTGTTATGCAAAAAAAAACTAGTTTATTATATGAAATCCTATTATACGACGTACAAATTCTGATTATGTGATGGAATTTATTATTAATTAAGTCTATAATTTTTATGATGTAAAGAATACGTCAGAAGTATATGCGTGCTTGATAAGAATAAATTTCTTTTTGTAGAAGAATATTATAGCAGATCAATAGACACAAAACCATATTATTAAAGAATAATCGAAATTTTGTGTATTCAAATATATAAGCACGAATCATCACTCTTACTTTTATATCATGACAAATGAAATGCAAATGAAATACAAATGAAATGGATCGTGAGCAAAGTTTGTTTAAAATATAAACTATGTACTAACCACTTTTGTTATATAACCTTTTTAAACTTTAAAGTTGTTTATAACTTTCATATGTTTATTGTAATGACTGAACAATTACAAATAATAATTTAAACAATAATTTAAACAATAATTTAAACAATAATACAAAAAATAATAGCATGATTTTTAATCATTTATAAAAAAAAAAATTTATCGTGTTTATTACTATATACTACTTATTATATTTCATGTTAATGTGGCTTGAACAAGATCTCGTACTATCCATAACAGTTTGCGATGCATAAAAAATACAGGAATATGTGACGAATTATTGGGTTCTCAAACCGAACCATACCAAACCATACCAAACCATATCATACCATGCCATGCCATACCGTGTCATAGCAGATACTAAATAATTATTTATCATGTGATTTTATGTAAATGAGAAGATAAGTGTTAAATTAATTTGGAACGGTCTCATCATTATTAGACATTATAGACATTATAGTTTATAGTTAATTATTATATTTGTGTATTGTGTACAAAAAAAGTGTCATCATCATTACTTACGATAAAATGACTTTGTTCTAGCTAGCTAGTTTATCAACTGGTTATCTCAGTTATCGTATTTTTTACGCATATATATAAAACACTAGTAGAAATTTTAATTAATTATACTGTAATTCTGTAATTCTGTAATTATTAGGATATATATAATGTAACTGTAGTACTCATACTCGTTCACAATGTTTCATTTCGAAACTTGGCAAAGTTGCAGGATTTACAGGATTTACGCATCGACAGTCCATTGTGTAAAACTTGGAACGTACATCAATGTATCGAGTGTATCGGGTGTATCGGAAGGAAAAAAGTTTATTCAATTTTCACCTAATTAAATTCACCATGCGGTTCAAAATTTTTTTAAAAAAAAACTTGAAACAATAATTGTCGCAAGCCGTCACACCGGTAAGTGTCACGACGAAAGTAGGTTTATTTAACACGCATTGTTGTAGATATATTTGGAGTAAGATTAAGGTGTCACCGTTGTTTGAGCTATAATCATCTCTGGTCATTCATTCTAAAAATTATGATCCTATTGATAAATAGGTGCACAAGCCTTTTTTCTATTATAACTTGCATATCGATTATATCGATTATGTCGATTATATTGATTATGTCGATTATATTGATTATGTCGATTATATTGATTATGTCGATTATATATCGATTATATAGATTGCGTAGATTGCGTTTACACAACTCGTTTACACAACCAACAAGGGTCTAAAATCAATATGTTTAAGATTTGGTCACAGATAATTTCAAATTTCGTTCGAGAAGAAGAAATAAATGCACTAAAATGTCAAAATCTATTTTAAACACAATGAAAGGTCAATGTCCTTGTAATCGTCCTTGTCAAAATTTTTTGTGTAATTTTTTTTTGAAGGAGGACCGCGCGTAGCATAAATCACGTCAAAGAGCATTTAATTCATTTAATTCATTTAATTTATACCGATTATTTTTATTTAAATAAATGAGTGCATACTATTACAGTATTACACATTACTGCAGAAGATTAAAATCCCATGATTGAAATGCGAGGTTTGAACTTTTGACATATCTTTTTACCAAAGAGTAAAGTTATTAATTTAAAAGACACAATATTGACATTATTGAAAACTTTAATGCATCATATATGCGTCGTTATATTTATATTGTTTTCAGAAAAGAAAAAAAGAAAATAAAAAAAAATGTTGACAATCTTTAAAAATATAAAAATATGAACTGTAAAAATAGTGTCTGTTACCTGTACTCCAAAAATAGAAAGTGGTACTACCTTTGGTTGGGAATATAAGATAAAAAGTATATTACTACTACTGTATATACTACTATATATTACTATATATTACTATATCGTTTCGCCGGAACTGTTCACTATTGTAAAATTTTTTTTCTCGATAAACCTATTTTGATAACCTAGAGGCCAGGCTTGTCCATTCATTAGCTGTCAGATTTTATTAATATCAATATTATCATATATTAAAGCCACACAAACAATTAAAACAGGTTAGTTACATGGTCGCTCAAAAAAAAAACAAAGGATGATTTACTATTAAACACATACAACTATATACAGTACTGTATATTAAAAATTTTTTATTTATACATTTTAATAAAATATTCCCGACTTTATAAATTCTATTGTAATTTTATTTATACACAATGTAAAGTAAAAAAAAAAGAGAATGCACTTATTTAAATTGGGAAAAATTAAACATCGCCTTTGTTCGAATTGATATAAATCCTAGCACTTCTGTCAACAGAGAATCTCACTACGAACTAAACGGTTTAAAAAAAAAAAAAACTTGTGTTTAGTTTTAAATTTAATAATTTTCCTCGTGCAAGAAATTTTTAGTAATTTTCAAGCACATACGAAATTTTGTCCTTTTATTTACTAATTGAACGAATTAAAAAATATATAAAAAGACAACGTTTACTCGTTTTCTCAATTTTTTTATCGCTTGCTATTACTGTTTGCAGTAGTAGTAAATCTCTTGTAAAGTTTCGTAATATTCAAAAAAAAATTTCAACAATGCCTGCTCCAACAACACAGCAAAGAACAAATAAAAATGAAGCACGACCATTTGAAGTCTTAGAGTTTCCAGCTTCTCCAACCGAGACGACTACTCGACAACCACTTAAAACCACGACAACGTTTATTAACTGTAATCAAGAAAATGGAAAGATTTACTGGATTCCGCGTGGTTATAATGTTGTCCTGGTTAGAACCGCTGATCTTCATTTGCTGGCGGGAGAGAGTCCATTATCTACTCCATCTTCTCCATCTACTCCAACATACGACTCTTCCGACGAATACTAAGCACTCTTTCCGTTCTCATGAAATCCATTAAAAAAATAATAATGGACAAAGAAGCTTATGTTACTATATTTTTTTCTTATCATATTGTTTATCGGACACTCACATATATATCTCGCCACACACAGAAATTGGTTCAAAAAAAAAAAAGAAAAAAAAAATTTTTTTATGATGATGAACATTACCAATTTTTGTTCTTTCAATATTTTCAAATTATCAATCACGATCGAAGAAAAAACACTTTCTTTTTCCGTTGACCGGGGAAAACCTTGAATTATAGATGTAGATAGTTTTTTTTTCCCCTTTATAAATATTTGAAAAAAGAATATTTCTTTTTCTTTTTTTTTTTTTTTTTTTCTATAAACTCCCCTCTTTATTACTTTCCATTACTGACGTGGCATTAAGAGGTTTCCAAATAATGAAAACTATCTTTTTGTTTCCATTGTCATACATTCCCTCTGTATATTTTCTCCCTTTCGATTAAATAGACCCCTTATTAACCATCTTTACCGGAAAAAAGAAATTAAGACATTGTTTAAACTACCCAATAACCAAGAAAAAAAAGAAAGAAAAAAAAAAGAAGACACACATATCTTCCCAACAAATTATCATCTCAATCAATCTAAGCGACAAAAAAATATATAATAATATTATAATATATGAATACAACAACCAAACTACCCATAGAGCCGGAAGAAAAGAAAAAAAAAAAAAAAAAAAAGGGAGCAATCAAAATTAATAATTGAGTAATGTCTAACTATTTACTCTTTTTAAAATTTTGATTTTAATACGACTTTATGCGACTTTATGGATTAAGAGAATTAATTTTTAGATTAAGCTTTTGTCTTTTTTTTTCTGCAAGATTCATTACCTCTTCCTAACTTGAGTTATGAATTTAACCGATAAAAAAAACAAAATTCCATTTATGTACTTTTATATTTTTAAATTATGATCTCTATTTCTTTTTTCTTTATTTTTTTCTCTTTTTTTTTATGTACATATGTGTAACATTAGTTCTTTTTTATTTTTACGAACGTTAAATTTAATATTTTTCGATTTTAAGAAATATACGGCTTAGAAATTTTTTTCTCGAAGCTGTAAAACACCATATAAAATAGAAATATATTGAATTTAACTTTCAAAACTTTGCACATTTTTTTTTTTTTTTTATTATTTTTTTTATTATTATTACGTATTACTATTTTTTTTTTGTTTGGTTATTGGGAAAGTGAATATGTCCTAATTTTCTTTTTTTTCTAAAAAAAACAAAAAAAAAAAAAAAAGAAAGAAAAAAAATAAAAAGAAATAAAGAAACAATTACTGTTATCAAAAAAAAAGAAACCATTGATTTATGAAACGTGTTTTGAATGAATTTTATTATTGAATTTTATTGAATATTATTATTGAATTTTATTGAATTTTATTATTGAATTTTATTGAATTTTATTATTGAATTTTATTGAATTTTATTATTGAATTTTATTGAATATTACTGAATTTTCGTGATGAATAACTAACGCGTCTTTTGCGCGATACTGTCTCGAGTAAAGTTAAACAAAAAAAACAATACAATTATCTATGAAGGTTTTAATTACCACGCCACAGTTCAGGCAAATGTCTTCGTTAGAGCTAGAAGTAAAGGCTATGATAAGTATGATAAAAAGTTCAATGAACGTCGATCATTAGATTATTTATCATCAAAACAATAAAGTACCCCGCACGATGACACAGCATAATTACTCTTCTGTATGATCAAACGTTGATAACCTCTTAACTTCCCGTGATTTTTTACTCTTCAAGTACATACTTACATACATACGTACGTACGTACTTACGCATCGTATCAAGTATGTACTTGAGGCGAAAGCTACTACATTACATAGAATTATTAATTATTAATGACAGTATATCAGGTGACATGACAATCCAAAATCATTAAATTGTTCTAACAATATTATCAATGGTAAAATTAAAGCTTATATAAGATTGTACACTTCTTTATTAGAGATCTTTTGTAAACCAAAAAATTTTGAGATTGAATGGCGCCATTTGAATGTTACATTTGGGCGAAGGCAAAAAGAATTAGATATTCATCCTTGTTATCTTATATCTTTCGTTACCTTTAACTATCTTGATTTAGAAGAGAGTTAATGCAATACATGTGTCACAAAATTTTAATTCAAAATTTATTAAAAAAAAAAGTTTATAACATTAAACATTAAAAACAATAAACCACAAAAAATAAAATAAAATAAATAAAATTATAATAAAAAAAAAAATTACATTATTAGTACAGTAGTATTTACAGTAATTAATTATGCTTGACCTCCTTAATTTCTAATTTATTCATTGTAATCTATTATCGTATAGTCATTCTAAGTAAAAATTCGGAATAGTTGATTGACAAGGGATGAGTCCATACACCGGGTGCCTGATTAAATGAATCAAATTTTAAAAAAGTTTAATTTTTTTTTTCATCAAGCGAAGACTTGATATTCAAGAATCTGCATTCATTATACCATTTTGATTTGATGACTAAACATACTAAACATGTAGCTAAACATGTAGTTCTAAACATGTAGTTCTAAACATGTAGTTCTAAACATGTAGCCAAACATGTAGCCAAACATGTAGCTAAACATGTAGCCATTAACGTTAAATGACAGTATGTAAATTCATTATCAAGTTGTAATCAGGTTATTTAGAAATTAGAAATGACAAAATAACATAACTTATTTGATGTTTGTAGAAAAGCTTGGTAGGATGTTATACAAGAATTATTTTTCATCGATAAAAGAAAAATTTTAATTTAAAAATGGTCAAGTTTTATGGTGAAACCATTCACAAATTTTAATCATGGCGTTGTACAAATTTACATTGAATAAGCGAGATGTAAAGAATACCATGTGAAGCGAAAATTCTTATAACTTTATAAGGTTTTGATAGCATTCAAACGTTTGAGCACTGAGAATGTCGACATAACTACGTACGTACGTGCGTAAATAATTGTTAGAATTTGGATAATGTGTTACTATCATAACAGTAACATAGCAGCAACATAACAGCAACGTAGAGCAACATAGCAGCAACATAACAGTAACAAAACAGTCATAAGTATCATCATAACTATCATAATTATCAATAATCATCATTAAGCTTACCCCAGCATATACATACTCCACACAATATTTATTAAACAAATAAAACTGGTTTTTAATTATTTTTTTGTCGAAAGAGTTTTCCGAGATATCTTTTTTAAGAAAACGTGTAAAAATAATCAAATTTAATTCGTTCATATTAAAAATCATCTGATAAATTTATTAAAATCGTAGTAGGCGCAGTAATTACGGGATTATCCATTAACTCCGTTCTGTTCAATAACTCAATAAACCTTTTTTCGTGAAAAATGAATGCGCGATATTTTGATACCATGCATTTTATGCCATTTGATTTTTTAACTTGGTAATGTTTTTCACTTTATAAGCTAGTAATACGTTAGTTATATGCTAGTTATATGCTAGTTACATACTAATAATATGCTAGTAGCTAATAATATGCTAGTAGCTAATAATATGCTAGTAATATGTAGGTAACTTAATAATATTGATGCATAAACTCATGAAAAGACCGATTAATATCAGCCTTTTAACTTTTGATCTAACCTCTTAAATCAATAGTGCTGCATTAAATCTGAAAATTATACGCACGCCTTCAAAAATAAAGGCACATGATGATATTGAACTCCTTACGATTTTGCGATTGATTTTTTTACTCTCCTGTCTGTCAAAACAAAACAAAACAAAAAAAAAATTAATATCGATATTGACTTGTTGTTATTATTATTTCAAAAGAATTTAAATAATGACTTGACTTTAAAAAAATAGTTTAAAACATAGAGTTTAAAATATTCGAATTAAAGATTTATAGAAAAAAACCCCAAAAGATTTTGAGATTTTGATGTTGTGCTATACCCTTGCAGGGTTAAATACTAACATTACAATTGAGATATTGTTCATGATCCAGGAAATGATTCTCTTTCTTTTCGTTCGTCAGAACTCTAACATAAACTAAAAAATTATGCAATTACGCATTGACCAGACCAGACTCCCTAGTTAATATAACTATACCTGGAAACGTATCATTTGACCCTTGATCAATAATCTGTCAGTCTCCTGTTGCCTTTCTTGCCTTTGAAAATTTCATTCTTGGAATTTGCATAAATCGTTTGTTGTATAGCGACATAGATTTATATTTATATGTTGTACCGTATCAGGTTACTAAATTTCCATGAATTTTTGATTGGCGCTAAATTTTCATGTAGCACGCAATCGCCTGAAATCGTCTGATTTTTTTGATTGATAATTCTCATATGTCTCATATGGGTAGTTCTGTAGTTGAAAAAAAACGCCTACTAAACCATCACATGATGAAAACAAATATTGACAAAAATATATGAATTAAAAATTGTTCCGTTTTATGTTTAGTTACTATTTTGTTACTGCTTAGTTACAGTTTAGTTAACGTTGAGTTACTATTTAGTTTCTATTTAGTTATAGTTATTGTTATTTTTGATATTTTTGATATTTTTGAGGTAGAGTATAAGACTATAAGATTACAGTAAGATCGTGATTTTGCTGCAAGGGATACTCGAAATGAAAAAGTTATGGACGAGTTTATAGATTTAATATATCTTGTTTACAACGTATGGGCGTATATAGTGTATAGTCTCTAACAGCTAAGTTAACACATCTTTGTTTAACACATTTCATTTTTTGTTTAACATATTTCATTTTTTGTTTAACATATTTCATTTTTTTGTTTAACATATTTCATTTTTTGTTTAACACATCTTTTGTTTAACACATTTTTTGTTTAACACATCTTTGTTTTCATTCGATTAAATGTCGATCAAAAGTTTTTCATTGTGAAACTATACCATTGAACACAGGAATACAGGAATAAAAAAAAAAAACAATGGTTTGACCAATTTGCTCATCAATCCG